GCATAGTTTTAAAAAAAAAAAAAAGCTGCACTGCTTGTTTCTTGTGCGTAAAATTGTGTATTTAAAAGTCTGGCAGCTAGAAGATCTGAGAGCTCGTGAAGGATTATAAAATGACTGAGAATCCGCAGTCTGTCCCAATCAGTGAAGAGCTTTGAAAACAGGTAAAAGGACCTTAAAATCTTTTCTAAAAAAACTGGGAGCCAGTGGATGAAGCTAAACTGGAGTGCTATGATCTCTCTGCTTTGTTTTAGTTAAAAGTCCAGCAGCACAGTTCTGCTGGATACTGGAGTGCCTAAAGGTACTCATGTATAAAAATCTCCTCTGAGAGTTATATTATTGTATGGTATATTATGATGCTATTATCGCTGATGCATTCATTTGTAAGCAGCATTTCACAATGAGCCCATAGTTCGTTTTGTGCAGCAGGTCTTTATGACCCATTGTTACATTTTGTTGCTAGGCAACATTTAGTGGTCGTAGTGATTATTACAGGAGCAAAGGGAAAAGTGCCGGTGACGTGTATAAAAGAGAGCAAAGTCCACGTCAGGAGAGGTGTGGTGATGATGGAATATGACGGAGGAGAGCGCTGTTCTATTCCCATGTTGAAACCAGCTGTTTATCTTTGTTTATAATTATCCATGACCGTTCAACAGTCAACCACATTGTTATTATTGTAACCATGACAACAAAGATTGTCTAATATTGAGGAAGTACTTATTTCAACCCAAAATCACCATCTTTTCCTAACCTAACCACAGACCGACTAGACATTTAGTATGTATAGTAACCATGGCGACGAAGGTCCCTTACGCCTGCCACCATAGGGCCCTTATTTCAGGAGACTCTCCTATATGGGTTGTATGAGAGGGTTAAAAAAAACCACCTGTGGTTGTTCCAGTTGAAGACTTTTTTTTATATAGAATAAAGCCGTGTAGCTTAATCTGTTACAATGCATCATCTTTTTTTTGGCATTTTTGCCTTTATTGTGATAGAGACAGTGAGAGAGAGACAGAGGACAGGAAGACTGGGGAGAGAGAGAGAGGGATGACATGCAGCAAAGGCTGCATTTGAACCCCTGGCTGCTGTGGTTAGGACTAAGCCTATGTGGTACGCACTCAACCAGGTGAGCCACCGGGGTACCACAATGCATCATCTTTTATAAGATCATCATATCACAGCTGTCAGATAGAGGTAGTGGAGTAAAAGGTGCGAATAAATACACCTCTGAAATGTGAAGTATAAAGTGTACATACCTCAAATTTCTACTGAGCAAATGCACTCAGTTGAAAAACCACAGGGTGAGATCGAGTTAGTACTCGGTTTTTAATTATGTTTTGCTTGATAAAACAAAAGGTAAACTCTGTCCTTGTACCTACCAGCGCAGGTTTTACCCACATCACTGCGACGCTTCGCTGTCTGTCTGTGCTCTGACCTCTGTGTGACCTCTCTCCCACTCTTCCTGGACGTGCTCACATTTTGATTTAAGATCTCACGTTTGCTTCACATGTCCTGCAGTTTCCCTTGTGCATTTCAATGGTGTGTCAGCAGCTCACATTCAGATCTGCTTACACTGCAGTGAACAAGTTCAGCGTTTAGCTCAAGGACACGTTGACAGGATGCTTCCCCACTGAGCACCAGACATGATCTCAATAATGATGCTTTGCTCTCATATCACCCAGGATCTGTTAGTCTGAGCAGCAAATACACAAACAGTTGTGCAGCAGAAATGATAGATTTCCTTTGAGCGGAAAAAAAAAGTAACTTTACCTTTTATATTTCTATTCTTACTTAAAAAAACCTTCCACCCAATGGCCAAAACTTATTATTAGTTATTTTCGATACACGTAAGGTGTTACTAAAGTTAAAATGTCTTTGTCTCTGTTTCTTTTTTCCCACCATGTTAAATGAAAAGAAATTTTTTCCTCAATCTTTCCGCTTTTTGTTTTTCTTCCCTTCTGAGCATCAATTGTGAAGCAGACTGGCTCGCAGGCTTTTTTCTCACCACTGTCACTATACACAACTTCACTTTCAGATGACTTTTCAAACACAAAGACTCCAGGTTTCTGTAGCTCAGAGAAGGAAACTCCTGCTCAAACTCTTTGTGATTTTTGATGGTGTCGGGTAACGTGAAAGCTCCCGTGTTCAACTCAAAGGTTTCTTTCAGATCCTTTAAGTTTATCTGGAAAATAAGTGGGAAAAAACACAGCTCAAATGAACACTTCAGCCATATGTGAGCTGTTACCTTTGACCTTACCAAAAGGTAACAAGATGAACCCGTCCTCACATGTGTTGACAAAAGATGGACAGTGTTACTTTGAGCAGCTGCAGTTCTTTGAATGGAAACAGAAGAGAAAAAACAAGTATGTGCAGTCAGGTGGTCGGGACGCTTCCACATCTGAGAGGTGTGAGATGATTATTAAGAAAGAAGAAGAGACATAGCTTACTATACCAAAACATTATTAAATACTGAATCATTTGACCTCTCTGGGGTTCTAGAAAAGTTTCAAATGAAAAATCAGATTTAAAAAAAAAATGCAAGTAACCAAAACTTCATTTTAAGAGTCACAAGATAAAAAGTCGGGAACCAGATGTAAACACAATGAAACAGAGAGCTTCACTACGGTTTAAAGTGATAGTTCGGGTTATCTGACGTGGGGTTGTATGAAGTAGGGGAGACCGGGGATGGTTGTAGCATGGTTGTCTGATTTGTGGCAGACACCAGACACAGGACAGCTTCAGAGGGAAAAAACTCATTTTGAGGTGGGAAAGTTTTTTTTTGTTTGTTGTAACAGCACTGTCTGCTCTGTAGTTCAACTCTTCAAACGTATGTCATGTTTATTGTGAGTCTATGTAGTATTTTTTCATGCTAGTTGTCAGTGCTAATGTTTTAGCTGTTAGCTGTTAAGGTTAGCAAGTTCATGACTACACACACACACACACACACACACACACACACACACTTTCAAGTGTTGAATAAAAAGCTTTCAACATCAAGGGTATGTTTCAACTAACCCTGACTATGAGGTGAATTGTAACATTTCACTCCTTGTGTTTGAGACTAAACCACAGACATGTTCTGATTGTGTTGCAGAGATAACACCCACACCATTTAACAGCAGACACATGGAACTAGTTTGTATTACATTTGAACACGCTGACTTAAAAGAACTTGAAGATACAGACAGAAATGGCAAAAATGTTACAACCATCCCCGGTCTCCCCTACTTATCCACAGTCACTTATCCTCATATAACCCCACCTCTAACTGTCATTCTAACAATGTTTATGACGGAAGCCATGTGAGAAATCTATCTGCAGACAGAAGACCTAACTTTGTGACATGCTAAAAATCTCCTTGTCACCAAACCCCTCAAACTGAAGGTCAAATAACAACCTAAAATTAGTCTGGGTGACTAATTTAGGATTCAAATGGACCCTCCCTAAACTGTTGAAAGCTAACTATGCTTTCAATGGTCTTGTGGCTCTCAACCTTTTTGGCTTGTAAGAGAAGCCATGTTTAATCACAACTCATGAAGATTGTTAATTAGTGTTAATTAGTTGTGTAATAAAAGCAGAAAAGATGTTTTCCATCTTGTTAATCATGTAGTAGCCCTGCAGATTTATTCTGTGGCCCTTTGTGTTGCCCTGACCCCCAGGTTGGAACCAGTGGTTGAAAATAACCATCTGCTGCAAAAACAGTGATTTCCTGTAACTGGGACAATCAGGGGCCTTGGCAGATCCATAGGACCAAAAGCACACAAAGCTGTTTTTTAAATGCACTTAACTATGTTGTGACTATGGTGAAAAGTCAGTGTGTTTTTATGTGAATGTGTGAAGGTGGTGTTAACAGCAGTGGTGTGGCTGGCATATGGACGTCCCCGCCTGTCTACATGAAACACCAGCAGCCTGCTGCCAGATTATACATACAGATCTACTTTAATACAAAGAAATCTCATATTATTCCGCCCATTACGTAAAAGGATGAGATTATCGATACACAGATTAATGAGCGCCCAATGGTGTTCCAGTGTAATGGCCCGGCCCTGCCCCGTCCCTCCGCCCTGCACCCGCCCGTCTGCATGCAACACTTCAATCATCCAGATAAAAAATAGAAAACCCCACAATGACTTGCACTTTAGTTGTTAGATTTTAGTCTTTTATTGTACTATTTTTTCTCGACAATTTGCTAGCGGACATGTGAAAACTTGGACCAACAAAACATCATCATTATTATTATTATTTTTTAATTACAGCATATCATCAGACTGCGGTAACAGTGAGAAGATGTGTTTTTAAAAAATGAAACAAGAAAGAAAAAAAAGAATCCAAACCAAACAGGAAAAAAGAAAAAAAAAACATTTTGACTTTAATATTCGATGGTGGTTTTTTCTTTTTTTTTTTTTTAATTCATGTACACAATTATAACAGTCTAAAACATTAAACACCACAGAGCTGAAGACATTGCAGTGTTGGTTGGAAGTGGCAGTCCTCAGGGCAGTTTATATACTGTAGCAACATGGTCCTGCTGTACTGTCAAATATCTACTGGGATGGATGGAAAGGGGGGGGGGGGGCGAGGGGGAGTTGAGGGGCGACTACAAACCAAAATGGCCGTCAATATAAAACTAACAGTCCTTTTTTTCTTTTTTGTTTTTAAATCCACCAATCAGGAGTCGGCAGAGACAGAGAGCAGAGTTAAAAGTAGTTCAACGAGGAGTAAAATAGGGCGGCCGGGGGTGGTGTGGGGTGGGGGGGGTGGGTGGAATGTCTCGATTTTCATTTTTTACATTTTCTGCATTTTCTTTTCTCTCGTAGACAATATAAAATCTCACAGACAAGCAAAGAAAAAATAAAAACATGGATGTACATGTTTGTTTGTATGTATGCATGTATTGGACGGAGGGGGCAGAGAGATGAAGGGATGGATGGATGGATGGATGGGGGACGAAAAAGAGGGCTTGAATTATTGCTTTCTGAGTAATTATTATTTTTTCATTCTCAGTTACATGAAATTGCATCTCTCTCATTCTCTCAATCTCTCTCTCTCTCTCTCTCTCTCTCTCTCTTTCTCACCATGGTGATCTGTTAACACGTGATTACTCCACTTACTCGGGAGGAAGGAGGAGGGATGAAGGGAGAGAGGAGGAGGGGGAGGAAGGAGGAGGAGGAGGAGGAGTTGAGGGAGGTGGGGTAGGGTGCGGGGTGGGGGCGGGGCTCAGAGCTCCTTGCTCAGCGAATCCCGGGCAGTTCTAATCCTCTTTGTGTGGCCTCACACGTTTCCCGCCTTTTTGTCTGGTAAAATGATAACAGAAGAGATTGAAAAAATGTATTAAAAAATAGGTCTTGGAAAAAGGATAATAATAATAAACAGTCATATAAAAGGGGTTATATGTTGTATGTGTGTTTAGTGGTTTAGTACAGATGTTGGTCTCTAATGTTCAGTTAGTTTAAGTTAATTTCTGTGTTAAGGACGTACACAAAGCAAACGATGACAACAACAACAACAACAACAACAGTTTCATGAGAAAACTATCACACAGTGTCGTCACATTATGGCGGATCATCATCACATGATAAACAACAGGAAGATGTACAGTCTGTCTGTCTCTCTGCCTGTCTTACACTTGTATTTGTGCCTTTTTTTTTTTGGTTCGTCTTTGTCCTCTGTGCTCAGACCTCACAGAGTCTCGACTCTAAAACCAAATAAATAACTTAACTGTCCGTTTGTCTGTCTGCATAGAATCTGTCTTTCTTGCCTCTTTGCCCCAGAGAGAGAAGAAAAAAACCGAGAGAGAGAGAGAGAGAGAGAGGGAAGGCTGGTTAATCTGGCTTGTTGGAGGGGCTCCGTGACACTTTGATTTTGCCCACTAATCCTTTGATGGACTCAACTCTATTGATGTCTGCTAAACCAGCTTTGCTCTTCCACAGCAAACAGAGACCTAACTATCTCAGCTACAGCTAGTTACTGCTAGTTACAGTTTGCAGTCAGCTGCCCGTGCAGTGCAGCGGCTGGAGGAGCGAGGAGCGAGGCCAAAACAGGGAGGTGGAGGATCTGCAATGAAGCTTTTGGTGGTTTTAATCCATTTTGTATTAGTGCACTTACTGTATGTTCTGTTCACACAAGCGGTTCCATAAAAACTCTTTCTCTGTGCTTTGGTTTGGGAAAAATCATTTTTTAAAAAACGAATAAGGAGCCGTGCAGCATCTGTTTTTTAGTGGTTGGCGTTTGCACTAGTTGTAAGGTCTGAAAGCTGAGCACACTGTGTGTTTGTGGAAACTAATGCTGTTTCCATGAAGCATTCCATGATAACACATTCATCTTGTAAAATGTTCCTGAGATAATGATCATGTTGGCGTCACTGCAGACTGGGCTCATCCTGCACTGACACGGAAGATGACGAGACAGAAAGACGAGTCGCCCGGTCCAATCAAAAATGAAAATCTGCTAGCATAGCATTAGCAACAATTCACAGTGAACTATTTCAGTGTTGAGTGGAAGACTTCCCTGCTCAGAGAGGAGAATGAAATGTGTAAAAATGGATCAATAAATAATTTCAAACCTAAATGAATGGTGTGAGGGCCTGTTAGCAATACTCTCTGACATTCTGTAGGATTAACAGAGGGCAGACGTTAGAGATGGAGCTAAGTTTGAACACCTGTGTTGAGGCCAAACCCGCCACATTCCCGTTCACTTTTCACTCATGTAACCATGACCTGTAGCATCTCTAACTGTTACGCACAGCCATAGAGCTTGTGTATGAAGCTCTGTGAGGCAGGTGATCTGCTCAGCGCTGTTTTCAGTCTGATCATCCGCGACATGTATGTCAACGTGTTAAAAAAGCAGTGGAGGACGTCCGTTTCACAGTTGCTTCAGCTGTAAGTGAAGCTTTTTGTGCTTTTCTTGTGGTGGCCCTGAGAGCTCAGCGCACTGCAACAACACACGTGCTGCAAATACTCACAACACAACAGAAGTGTTTCGATGGGACACTGAAAAGTGATGAACCCGCTGAGATGCACTTGTTGTTCAATGCTTTGTGACTTTTGAAGTTAATGCATGCGAGTGCGTCCCAGCCGAGTTCATCACTTTTTTGTGTCCCCTGGGAAACACTTCCATTGTGTTGTGAATATTTGCAGCGTGTTTGTGTATTTGGTTGTGTAAATCAGGAAGGTGCCGCACACCCACGGTTTACTGTGTATGCGATAAAGCTGGATTCATTTCATATGAGCATTAAAATAATTACAAGGTTTCAAGTATTGTTTATGCCAACTTCCACTTTCTAATCACAACTGGGAAACTCCCATGGTGTTTAATAATACAGATGATGAGATAAGTCTGTAGTTTAAGGTCAATCCCAAGTTTAATGAATCTAGCGCTATATTATAATCTCATGGCCTTTCAAACCATCACATGCCAAACTTTGCAATCATATGATCGCCTTGAGTTGTCCAATGATGTGAACACTCACATTTTAATGTTTCCATAGCTACCCCGCGTAGTGTCCCATCTTCATCGATCTAAAACAATATCTTAAAAGTTACTCTATCATCTCATTTAGTGATGGACATCTGGTGGTGTGTCTGATGTGCTTGTACTGAATGTTATTATTTTTAAAAAGCAATCACTGGTGCGTCTTCCTGATAACGCAGCGAGCTTGGCTCGGTTTCAGGCCCCAGTTTGCCAAACACTGGGTGTTAAACGGAGTTCAATTTTAGAAAAAGAGTTTGAGCTTCAAAGAGGCTTCCGGTAAATCGCGTGGCAGCAGCAGGAGCCTCTGCGCTCTCTGCAAGCATCTGCTGCGCTGTGCGAGATCAAAGCGAAGCGCTTGCTGGACACTGAGCCTCACATAGCATTTTGAATGGAGGAGGAGGAGGAGGAAGAGGAGGCTGGGACTGATAAATAATGGAGGAGAGAACAGAGCACCTTCTGGTTCACAGGCACTTCATGTCCAGTGTCCAGGAGCTCCAAGCGGCTCCCCGGTGAGGACGTGTGAAACGCTGCGAACGAGAAGTGAAGCGGTGGCTTTAAAGGAGCGATTGCGCTCGGCAGACCACCTCTAGATGCAGAAAGAAAACTTCAAATGTCCGGAGATGTAAAATCCCCACCATCATATTCCCTCATGTGGTTCACAATTGACCACAATTGCATCAAATAAAAGCTAAAATCAACGGTGTTATTGCAGATGCTCCATTTAAAGGACCGCTGGGGGCTGTGACAGGCTGTAACATGTAGCCGCTAATCTGACATTTATATGTTCACACAAGTTCATGAACAGTCAGCGTCCAACCGTAGCTGCCCTGGGAATCTGCGCTCACCACCTGAGTCCTTGTTATTGTTAAATGGTTTTGTTGTTTGGCTGTTCATGAACTTGATATTATAATGAAATTAGATGACAGTCAATAAAAGACAGAGGCTTCTCTCTCTGTCTCTCTCTCTCTCTCTCTTCTATCAGATACTCACAGGTTATTTAGGGGTGAACAAACACTTATGTAACAGCTACACTACATTTTCTTTAAAGGGATTTATGAATAACTGCAATATCTGTCATGCAATCACCCAGGGAAGTTGACATGCCTGTGTATATGTGGTTCTGCATATACAGTGGCTTTACTGTGTAACTTGCATGCGTATACGTGTACTAGCCTGTGCTAATAGGTGTAACTTTAAAATTTGGCACATTTAAGTGTATTTCCATAGACACGTGTTAACCTGTGCATAAACGCGCGCGTGTGTTCTCAGTACCTAACGTCGGCATCATAACATCCATTTAAACCATTGTCGACACACAGCTCCCTCTCTAATTGGTCAGTTGCTGCTGACATCACGTTCTGAACGATGGCCATTGCTGCCTCGCGCAGATCCCGCTTCCTCATCTCCTCCTCCACATCTTCCTCCTCCTCCTCCTCCTCCTCCTCCTCCTTCCCCTCCCTCTCTGCCTGCTCACATGACTCTGCGCCATCATGACAGCCTCCATTTTGTGGAGACTCTGCCTCCTCCCCTCCCTCCCCCTCCTCCTGCTCCTGCCTGGTAATGGCTAATGCTAGCTCAGGTTGTCGACAGCTGGTTTTAGTTTGTTTACTGCTATCGTTTGTTAGTGCTGGTGCTTGATGTTGTTGTCTGTTGTTAGTATCTCCGTCTTTGCTGCTGCTGCTGTTTTGTGGCTCGTCAAAGTCCCGGTCGGCGCGCTCTAACTCACCGCTGTTCACAGCTGCCGTGGCGTTGATGATCTTGGCATTGGCCTCCTCTTTTACTCCCCCTGTCTCCTTGCTCTTCTTCACGGGGCTGCTCCCTGTCGTCTTCTCCTCCTCCTGGTGATTGTGTGTGGCGTTCTCCTCTGCCACGCCATTGGAGCAGCCGTTCTCCCCGTTGGTCACTGGAGCCTCAGCCGGCGTCTTCTCCGCCTCCGTGACTGCCTCACCTCCGCTCTCCTCTGCCGCCGTTTTCTCAGGCTCAGCTACATCTTTGTCGTTGGTCTCCTCGTTCGCTGCGGGGGCTTCATTGTCGGCGCCTCCTTCCTCCGCTGCTTCTCCTCCCTCTCCTCCCTCTGCAGCCTCCTCCTCTTCCTTGGTGCCCTCGCCCAGGTCCACACTGGTGGACTTGCCCTTTCGCAGGATGAAGTTCTTCAGGGAAACTGCACGGCCAAAATGTGAGCGCTTGGCCTTGGCTGACTTGCCATCTTTGCTGTCTTTGCCCTCCTCTGCTGCTCCTTCCTCACCTGGACGGGAGAAGAGAGTTCATGGTTAATGCTTCCATCTCGATAATCAGATTTTCAATGATCACCTCTAGAAAATCTGCACTTCCCCCTGCAGAATGACTGATCATCAGGATTAAATTAATTAATTCATAAGGTGTGTGTGATTTATACTATATACTATATTTAATGCTGGCTTGATTCTTCTTTGACAACTATCTGGGATCACAATCCTTTTAGCTGTGGTTAGGGCCCCACATAGTACCGGTTAAATTTGACAGCTTCTGGTGAAGACGGTTATACAGAATACCTTAAATTTTCTACTTAAGTATGGCACTTAAGGTTTAATTTCTCTTTAGTTGAGGGAGTTACTTATGGGTGTTGCACAGAACCTTTTAAAAGGTTTCCTTAGTTAAGGAAAAATATTTTACAGTGGTAAAATTCTACTGTTCTACTGGAGACCGTTGATTTGCTGCCATTAGCACTTCTTGTTGTTTTGATGGAAACTTTGCCACGGTGTTCAGCAGATGGTCTGTGGAAATGAAATACCTCGACTACACCTGACCAGAAAGATCATCTGGCATAAAACCGTGGAGCAATCATTAAGCTGCAGAGAGATGAGGGATCCACCTCTGGACTGTTGGACCAACATAAACTGACTGCTGGTCAAACATGTAATGTAAAATCAACTCATCATTAAGGGTTTCTCCCGGTCTAAGCACACTCTTCTTGGGATGCGTTCATTTTCTTAATTTATGACTATGAACTCAGCCATGTTCAGATTCAGTTGGAGGTAGCCTACCTTTAATTTTTTCCTTACTTTGTTCACTCAGAACTTTTGTGCAATGATTTTACTAACTTTAATTGATTCCTGAAGTCTAAGACTAAGATAAGGAGAAAACCTTAAATACTTAAGTCGACATTTTAACCATGGGATGTGGTTTCTTGCTGGTAGCAGGTGGTGGTGATCGTCGCTCGACAAGAGCTTCAGCCTTTATTACATTTACAAGACGAGGTTATAATAGGTCCTCTGAGCACCTATGTCTTCAGGGCAGACTGGAGGCTACAGTGAGCCGCTATCAGAGAGTGATGAGACCGGTTGGGGCTAGCTGGTTAGCATGCTACCTTCAGTAGAAGAAAAGACGTGATAGAGACAAGAGTTAACATTGGTGTTGCTTTCCACCTGTGGAGACAGCTGTTGGTGAGTAAAGGACTGAAGTTTGATACTGAACTCAATGTTTCTTCCAGACTGGTGAGTAAACAGCTGCTAATGCTAACATTAGCTATGTAGCAATAGCAAACTTACAAATAGCTCATTGGAGGAAACCTTAAGCAGGAGACTTATGGTTGTTTTGTGCAACTGTTTTTATTTTATGGAAATCTTAACTCAGACTTTCAGTTAAAATTAGAAAACATACTATTTGCAATGCAACAACTAAGCCTATGTATTTTTATCTGCTTTGAAGCGACTCTGGGGCAGAGTCAGTATCTCACTTATGTTTTCTCTTCACATTCTTTTAAAAGAAGATGCATTTAAACTGAGTTTAAAGTAGCCTCCTCTGTTTAAGAGAATCTAGGTATCCTCCATTGAAAACCAGTAGCAGTGAGCCTTAGACACACTCTTGTTTCGCCCAGGGTTCTGTGTTTCTGTACCATTTTCTTCATGCAGCCAGGAGCAGAAACCTAAATTTAGTCTTTACTGTTGACTGAAGCTACAGTGTGATTTGAATTTCACATCAGACGTTGAATATTTCATTTGGGAGAATGTTCAATTACATTACCTCCTCCAGAGTTAGCAAGCCACTGACTTCTGTCTGCGCTCCCTGGACAGGGAGCAAACACGCTATCAGCCTCTAAGCCTGAATGTTATAATGGTGTCCATGTGGAACCACTATGATACTGAACAACAAGCTTTCTTTGTTACATAAATGGATGTCTGATGATTTCAAACTGCCTAACTGCTTCTTAAAACAAACACTGCTACCATGAGATAAAATTGTCTATCTATCCATCCATCCATCCATCTAAAGGGCCAAAGGATAAATCAGGGTGATGTGGGCTGATTAATCCTCCAGGAAAGAAGGAAAAGCATAACTCTGCCACACAAATTTGTCATTTTTTGCACCTCTCACTTTTTGCAACATACGGACTTCTAACAGTTATTTAAAGGAAGCCATCTGAGAAATGTAAAGAGGATTTGGTGGAAATATTAAAAACGTCGAGATGACAAATGGCACCAACCAAACACTGATTCAGGGTCACAAGCCAAACTGGCTGGGTATCACAGCACAGCTGTAGAGGATGGGATGAAATACAATAATAAAAATAATAATAATAATATTAACACAATAATAAAATACTATACTGGAATATAACCCCTATACCTACCTTAATCTCCCCATTTAAATCAACAATCAAATTTACCTCAATGGTACAAATGAAAGGTGTGAGATGTGACAAGGACCTGGATTTGAATCTCATCATTATAACTTAGACATTATAGCTTTGTGGTTTATTTGTTTGACTTTTTGAGTCCTCTCACCTGAGGTGGCAGCTGCAGCGGCGTCCTCCTCCCCGCTGGGGGCGCACTCTGTGTTGGCCCGTTTGGACTTGGGGATAACACGCTTCTTGAAAGAGGTCCAGATCTCGTTGGCATGTTGCGTCACCGTCCCACCTCCTGCTGTCGCCGCCTTCTCCTCCTCACCTCCCTCCGCCTTCTCCTTCTCCTCATCTCCCTCTGCCTTCTCCTTCTCCTCGCCTCCCTCTGCCTTGGCCTCCTCTCCCCCCTCCTCTCCTCCTGCTGCCGCCTCCTCTGGCTTGGCGTTGTCAGCAGACTCTTTGTCGGAGCTCTTGGCCTTGCCGCTGATACCGACCATGGACGGGTCCCTCTTCAGGCCCTGGAAGGTCCAGGAACGTTTCAGCTTCCACCTCTTCTGCCCCGACTCCTTGGAGTCCAGCGTGGAGGAGTCTCCACCGCCTCCTTCTCCGTCCACTCCGTCCTCCTTCCCATCCTCTCCTCCTCCCCCGCTCTTCTTGTGCGCCTTCTGAGCCATGAGCTTCTTGAAGGAGTGCCAGCGCTTCATGTGCTTGGTGGTTGCCGAGGAGGATGAAGCTTTCTGCTCTCCCTCTGCACCTCCCTCCGCTTCTCCTGCTGCTCCCACCTCCTCTATGGTGGAGTCTGCGGTGGTGTTAAGTGCTTCGGGATCTTCCAGCCGGTCCAGAGACCTGGACCGAACTTTGATTTGTTTCTGGGGCTCTGCAGCAGTGCCGTCCTTCTTCTCAGTGCTGCGATGGGAGAAGATCCTCGCCACGGGTTTCCTGATCAGATCTCTAACCGTGGATTTAGCCTCCGCCGGTTTGCCCTTCTCTGCTTTCTTCTCCTCTTCCTTCTCTCCATTTTCTGGAGCTTTCTCTATCGCAGCCTCTCCTTCTGCACCTCCCTCTGCTCCTCCCTCAGTTGCTGCGGCCTCCTCTCCTTTCTCTCCCTCTTTCTCCCCACCCTCAGTTGCGTTCTCCTCTCCTCCTGCACCTGTGCTCTGCTCTTTCTTCTTCCGTCCTCCCATCACCTTCCCCAGGCCGCTCTTGTTGAGGAACGAGTCCAGGAATGAGGTCTTGGGTTCAGTAGAAGAGGCATTTTCTGAGCTCTGAGGAGGTGCTACCTCCCCACTTGCTGCTTCTCCTCCCTCTTCAGTGTCTGCAGCCGCCGCCGCTGGCGGCGCAGTGTCATTATTCACAGTCTCTTTGTTATCGACCACCTCACTGTTGACAGCAGTGCCATCTTTATCGACAACCTCACTGTTGACAGTCTCTGAATTTGCGTTGGCATTTTTAGCTGGTTGCTCCGCCTCTGTCGGCTTGCTCTCAGGGGTTTTCCCGTCTTCCTGGACTACTGGTGCAGCGTTGGCCTCCGTCGCCGCCATTTCAGAAAGGAAAACAAACAATAACAACAAAAAGTGTGTTCCTTCCTTCCTGGACCTTCTGCCCTCCTCTTCCTCTCTCTCTCTGGTGTTTCGTTCCTCCCGCTGTGGTGGCGCTCTCAGGTCATGGAGAGCAGGGTGGAGAACAGTGGCAAGGAGAAAAGATACTCAGCATCCTACTAGTCCTCAAAACTCCTGTAGAGGGAGACAGGGGGTGGGGGTGGGGTGGCAGGGGTGAGGAAAGAGGGATTAGAAAATGGGCAGAGGGAGAGAGAGAGAGGAAGAGGCACAGATGGTTGATAGTTTGAATCAACACCATAGACACTCAATTAGTCTGGTCTAGACTGTGCAGTGAATGGGGAATGAAGAGTAACATAATAGAGAATCTCAGTGGGAAATGCAATGCAATTATGATGTTTCCTAATCAGTCACACTTCCAAAATTCATTTGTGATCTGATGTGGGACACACACTCCTCCTTTTTCTTTTTAATTGAAATGGCAGAATGGAGGTTTTGGGGATGCAAACCTTGCAGCAGACGGCAGCAGTGAGACGGCCTTGGATCCTTAAAGCTGTTTATACTGTCAGGAGTTGGCTGCTTCACTTTCATCAGCTGCAGCATTAATTTCAACAGCCCTGAGCTGATAGTTGTCCACGTATTTAAAATCATTTTTTGTTTGACAGTCTCATCCAGCTCAAACATGTTATTTAAGCAACTTGGTCATCAATGTGCAAACTTGAGGATGTAGTTAAACTGTAAACAATTGACATCTCCTCCTCTCCGTATTTTAGTACAGCTGAATTCACAATAAAACTGATCACATTTACCGGCCAATGAGGAAACTCCAACACTTGGCCAGCTAACCAAAGGTGTAACTTGATCACTTAACTATATCACTCAGGCAGTCAGTCACAAACACTGGTGTATATAGATCTGGCCTCACCATTAATAGTACTGAAGCATCTTAGTGTTGTCCCAAATGAGGATCTAGTTCTGAAAACAGTGAATCCTACATTTCCCATAAGGCATACATTTGTAAGCTTTCTGTTAAAAATATGTAGTCTCCAAGCCCACCCTGATGATATCACTGTGACATCAACAGGGTTATTTTTTTCAGAATTGAAAGATCATCTAGACCTACAGAGGACATTACACAATTGTTTTGAAAGGCTGAATAGTATCCTACTCTTTTACCCCTCTCCACCATTAACCTCGCGTTAGTTCTGGGCTGCTGCTTGTGCCAGTTTTGAAATTGGTTTTATTTGTGAAGCTTCTAAGAACTGGCTTGCTTTTCCTTAGTGGCATCATCTGTATACATCACTGTATTCATCCGTATACATCTCTGCTTACCCAGCAACACTAGCTCCAAGCACAACAACAACAATGGCAGACTACATTGTCTCAAGTGTTTTGCTTTGATTTTATGTCCATACTGAAAAGCTCTGGTTTTCTTCTTTGGATTGGGGAGACTCGATGCTACATTAGCTCTGGTTTTTCAAACACAGTGGTCACAAAGTTTGAGCCCCTGACGTCATGGTTCTTGGTTCTAGACTACCAAAGACAAAGAGAAGTTTTCCTTGCTGAGAACGGGTTCTTTAGCTGTTGAAAATATGAAGAACTGATGACAGCACTGATGGGTTTGAAGCGTGTTTGTGAGTTTATGCATTTTCTACACTCATCCACTAAATGCTCTTGTTGCTCTTGTGGTTCAGGTTACCCAAACAGGAGCAAATAATGCATTTGTTGGGGACTATTTTCATCAGCGGATTCACATTTGGTGCTTTAGTGAGTATTTTGGCAGCAGGATGGTGTGTGTGGGATTGAGTCAGAATAAACTACAGTGTGTTTGTTCATGGTGCTGAGGGAACATGCCAACCAGTGCAACAGTGAGGCTCATTGATGAGTTTGAATAGTTTGTGGAAACAGTGGAGCTTAATGGCTCATGAGGAATTAGATATATCAGACTTTGATACACACGCAGTACATGTTAGTAGGAACAGCTTGTTGGTGTGGGTCTGCACATGGACTTTGTTGTCCTTTAAACACTCCTTGGTTGTAACACCTGTAGAGAATTTAATGAATGAATCAGCAGATCAATGAATCACACACTATGAGTCACACACCCATGCGGAGTAGCCGACTTTCAACAGTGAGAAACTGTGGAGCGTCCAGACGTTTAGTGAACACAGTCACACTCTCTCAGAGGAGAAGGTGAGAGAGTGAGTCAGACTGAAGGAGGCAGAGAGATGCAGACAGAGAGGCACTCAGGTGGAGAGACAGCCGCACACAGGGGCGAGCGAGGGAGGAAAGCACATTCAGATAGACAGAGAGAGAGCGAGGTGTAAACACATACATCACATGCTCCAGATAATCTCACTGTGTTGTTGCCACAACTGACTGACCGACTGGATGACTTGCTGGTTGACTGGCTGCCATATTGGCTCGCTGGCTATACTGGCTGCTTCGCTGCCTGGGAGACGGGATGGCTGACTGACTTACTGACTGATTGGATGACTTACTCCTATTATCTCTCGAAGTTAGGTGACTGACTGATTTACTGATTGTTCCACTGACAGACTGGCTGGCTGGTTAGTATACTCAGTGACTGTGTTAACAGCACAGCCATGTTAAGGCAGACAACAGCCTGGAAAAATGTGTGTGGAAAAATGTAAACTGCTAATTTATTCATTTATTTACTCATTTATATAGGTATTTATTTATTGACTCACTTATGCAATTTATATTTAAATGTATATATTTATCTATCTACATTTATTACCTAATTTAATTATTTCAGGATTCATTTCATAGCTGTATTTATTCATTTATGTATTTAATATTGCTTTAGATGGCATTCCACTGTGGTAAAACAAACAAAATAAATGCAGGATTGTCCATTTGCTGCAAAGCAATAAAACATCACTCTGTGTCAGATTCACTGCAATGAGCACGCACCTCATTTTTTGGCACTGCTGTTGTTGAATAGGAAAATGTTTTATGAACTTTATGGCAAACAAACTGTGACATGTGATCAGTCTGACTTGCAAATATCAGTCCTGCAGGTGAGAACGACCTGGCGAGCTCTTTGACTCTCCTGCAGCATGAGTGACCGTTGACCTAAAGCGCCGGTTAACGCTGTCACTGACAGGTTTACTGAGTGGTGATGTTGCTGCCAGGCTGCTGACCACATGGAGCTTTCTCCCGCCTGAGTGTTGCACTGACTCTTGTTTACTACTCTGAGCTTTAAATCACTGGTAGCCTGTTAGCTCTGACGCACTCAGCTCATTTACTCTGCCTTCTAGTAGCCTAAAGATAGAAACACACACACAGACAGCTACACGCTTTTATTTATCAGGCACTATTAGAATCAAAGTGTTATTCAGTAGGTTGAAAATGGACATGAGTTAGTCTCAGTGACGACGAAGCGAACACGTGTGTTTGGCCTCCTGCAGTTGTTCGCACTTTGTTTTCCTGCTGTAATAGAATGATTTCTCTTCCAGGGTCCACTACATCAGTGGCTTCTTTAACATATGTTGGACTCTTTGGGTCCACATATACATATAATGAGTTTGTGTTTGCAGTCACAACAGATGATCAACAGCGTTCATTGGTGCAGCGACAGGCTTGCTCAGACCGCTTGGAAACTCACTCTAGCAGCTGAATTTGAACAGAGATTACAAAGCTCTGGATCTAACATTCTGCTTATTAATAATTCAGCCACTGATGTTCATCAACATACTTCACATAGAACAGTAGAGTCTGCTCTCTAATGTTCTGCTCTGGTTTATTTGATTACAACATTCTCTACTCTCATCTTTTTTTTGCTGTTATTTGTTTGAAATGATCTGAAATTGTCAGTGATAAAAATGCAGTCATTAGTCTCCTTACTCCTCAGCTGTAATCTTTTCAAAGTCTGACTCGGTTTTAACTCAGCTGAAGTGTTTGCTGTCATTACATCGAGTAATGAAATGTGCAAAGATGGGACTTCTTAACCGTGCAAGGCCCCCTCTCGACCTGATGAATTGTGGATGTGGACAGCCCAAAATCAATCGTGGCACCAATATGCTCCAGGTGCAGGTGATCTAGCATCATCTGAAAGCCCCTCCCCTTGCACCTGTCCAATGTTCACCTTATGACTTTATCAAATAATGGGGCTTTTAGACAGGATGCGATTTGCGCTGTGCTTGGCTGACTTTCTGAAACAGCAACAAAGATACACAGATGTATCATTCCAGTGCTGAGAAACAACTGTTAGCACTAGTCCCGCTAATAACTGGAAGAAGGGCAGCGGCATAGAAGAGGCTATGGGCATCCTCAGGTACTACAGAGAGCAGCCAGAGGAAGGAGCTCCGTTTCACAGCTACTTGGTTTCAGGTCGACTCTCTGTTCCAGTACAGATCTATAGAGTGGAGAAAACCGAACGCTTGGATTCAGCCAAAGGTTTCAGGGAGTGGACAGGTGGCACAAGAAACAATGGGGCTGATGGGAAATGCAGTCTGAGAAAACGTAGCTCAGATAATACAGCTGTAACTGATCATCCCAGCCATTGATTCGGTGGTTTACAGTCATTAATCCAGGATTTAAGGATTAATCTAACAGTGATTCACCGAAGAATAAAAGTCCTCAACACACTGGCTTTAAGCAGATGTTATAATATTAATAAATGTGGGTGTGGAGCAGATTCTCATGTTGCCACACGAGACAGAGCTCCACTGTGGCCGCCTTTGTTTCAGTTTCTCTTTATTTTGGCTTGATTTTTTTTTTTCTTGGCGGCTGATTACGCTGCTGCTGCAGCAGAGGAGCATTAGTGTGTTGGATGGTGGATGTGAGGCTGAAGCCCTGAGGTGTTGGAACAGCATCAGACAGAGGGGAACGACAAAATGGTGGGAGGGGTGGGAGGAAGAAGAAGAAGAAGGTGTTGAGGATGGACGGAAGAGGAGGAGTGGTGCAGACATGAGCTGATTGCGAATCGTCTCTCTGTCTCTGCCTTTCGCTCTCCAGCTCTGTCTGTCTGTGACACTGTCTGGTTTTTCCTCTCGTCCGTCTCCTTCCTTTTCATCGCTTTTCTTCTTTCTTTTTATCTGTCTTCTTCTTCCTCTCTTCTGTTTCTCTCTGTCTGCCTCCTTTACCTCTGTCTGTCTTGTTTTACCTCCCTTGTCTGCCTCTTTTACTGTTCTTTATTCCTCTCAGTCTTT